CACCCGCCCGATCGCCACCATCGCCGGTGAATAGCCCACCGCCTTATATCCCCTGGCCGAGACAACCGTTGATCTATCCGCGACCAACCTCGGCGCCGATAATCCCCGGGGTGTCGTACAAGATCCTCGGGTCTGTGATCAAGGCGAAGAGACCCAAGGATAGCACAAAAAGGAGAAAACTCAAGGAGAAGACGGAGGAAGAGGAGCCGACAACGGAGGAGGAGGACCCGGACGACGCAGCCATCAATGCCGGTCTCACCGTGGACGATTTCTTCATCTACGAGAAGAATCCTTGCAGAAAATACGAAGAGCACGGAACTGAAAATAAGCACAAATACAAGAAGGGCTGCAAGCACATGGTCGTCCGGACCAAGAATTACACCGTGCACGTCAGGGCGCTACCCCGGTGCCCGGACATGGGAGGGGGCAGATGTTTCGAGTTCCCCGGGCTCTCAGGGCGCTGCTACGTCCTCACCAACAACACTGCACCCAAGTCGTTGAGGAAATGGGTCCTTGTCAACAATTGCTTTGTCAGTTAGAAGTGAATTTCGAACACGTGTAAAGTCCCAGATACACCTGCGAGCTAGACGCGCGTCTTGAGCGGCGAGTAGGCCTTCTGCCCTGTTCGGCAATCTCTGGAGCCAATCTGGTTGCGACTCGCCGCCCGCAACTCGCTCAACGTAGAGTGCCTTTATAGGGAGAGAATGGACAACTCGATTTTTGTAGCTCTTAGGGCCCGAAAAGGCGCGACAACGTGAAAAACGAAAATCACCAGAAAAGTGCCGCTGCCAACCTATGCATTTGAAAGATTAATCAATAGGGCCAAAAGCGCATTATTAACGAGCGTTTGTAAGGATTAAGATTTTGAAATTGAGAAAATGAATGCAAAACAAACGTTTTATATATGATCAGTATACCTACTCTCGGAGTTTAAATTAGTGCCACTGGATGGTTCGAGTTCATAGGTTGGCTGTCATTTTGGGACCCAAGAGCCAAACGACCTGATCAAACCTAATCTCCAAATTTTCGAGGTGTCCATACTCTCTCTATAAAGGTACTCTAGCTCAAAGTAGGATCGGATCCTATTTTTTCCGTCTAGACGCGCATCTAGCAAGCAGGTGTATCTGGCGCTTTAGAGGCGATAGTTTCGAAAGAGTGTAAGGACCGCCCATCAAAGGGAGGAATGGAGATCTTGCATGCATGTGTCCGAGATTCGCGATTAAGTCATTTTTTTGTATGACAAAGTTCGCAAAGAACATGAAGGTGCTATACTGATTTTTTGAGTTTTTTTGAGATTTAGAGTTCAATTCACATAGGTGTACCCGGGTCATTTCACTAGGGGGCATTGATCTACTTGGGATCATTTTGAGGCTTCCGTGGCGGAAATTTTCCATCAATTTCTGCGAAAAATTACGCTTTTCTTACTCCCAGCAGAGAACACTTTCGAAAAAATTACGTCCATTTTTTCATTCATTTAAGACTCTACGATAAGAGAGATCATCATCTTCATCATCGACGGAGGCCTTTTCCTACCGTCCAGCATTTCTGGAGGGAAGGCAGATGATACTATTTTCACTTCTAGAAGGGGGCAGGCCTCCCTGGACCCCCCTTCGTAAGCCCACGTCAATTCACAGAAACCCAGAGGCACCATCGGGGTTCTCACAAAATTTTACATAGGAGAAAATACTTAAAATGCATATCCCTGTCAAATGCAAGAGAAAATGTCAAGGAAAAATATTCATAACTTTCCTAAAAAATGAACCATTTATCGAAGGAATTTTGGCAACTCTCGAATGTTCATACGGCGTTCTTCCTTATCACGGCGGTGCTGCGTTGTTCCCTTATTTCAAGTATACCTATAATCGGCAGAACGCTTAATCAAGTAGGTTTTGTTTCAGTCTTGGTGGGTTGTTTGGAATAAGGTTTCAATTCTGCACTAACTGATTCGTATTAGTCCTCTTTTCTCATACATAGATTCTTATTGGGCATTTTTTCTACCATGGCAAATTTCCCGCCATGATTGTCGATTTTAGGTGGTATTAGAGTACCTTTATAGGGAGGGTATGTCCTCTGGGCCCGATGGAGGGGCTTAGGGCCCTAAAATGGCGGCGCTATACAGATTTCAACTAATGTCAATGGAGATTTAACTGTTGTAATTGAAAGATGTAAATTTTATATTACGAAATTAATGTACTGAGAGACTCTAACGCGTGGGTAGAAAGGAAAGCTGAATTCTTTCGGCGCTCCTCTAGATTCCTTTTACAAAAAGGGTGAATAAGCCAGCTAGAAATTGTAATTCCTTATCAAAAAATGTAGTCCAGCTTTAACAAAATTAATGTATTTTAGAGACTTCAAGACACGGGTAGAAAAGAGAGCTGAATTATTTTAGCGTTCTTCTGGTTTCTCTATACAAAACGTATAACCTCGTGATTGTAGTTTCTCACCGAAAAATGTAGTCCATTTATGACGAAATCAATATACTTGAGAGACTCTAACGTGCGGGTAGAAAAGAAAGCTGAATTCTCTCAGCGTTCTTCACGTTTCACTGTTTCAATTGGTGCCTCCTATGAATGAGTCAGAAATTGTAGTTCTTAATAGTAAAAGTAGTCAATTTATCACAAAATGAATGTTCTTGAGAGACTCTAATGCACAAGTAGAAAATAAAATGCAATTCGCTAAGCGTTCCTCGGCTATTATCCAAGGCAGCATACAGAATTACGTTGAGAAAACTTTCGCCCAAGCAACAACTAGATTCATTCCAAATATAATCATTATGATTGGTGTTTTCAAAAGCCAACTGTAGAACATTGGCAAATATGACTGCTATTTTCAACGCATCCTTTTTCCATTAATCTAACTCCGTTTTTTTTTTTTTTTTTTTTTTTTTTTTTTTTTTTAAATGGAACGGCTGTAACTCTAAATAGCCTACCTGCATTTTACATCGTATAATTTCTTCTCTGATTCATTTTTCAGGCAAAATAAGCAACTTGGCGCCTCAAACTTTCCGTTGATTTTCTTCTAAGTATGAAGAATATAGCGGCAAAATTTATTAGTTTATATTTTTTTTGCATTTTAATCATTTTAGTTATAAAAACTTAGTTGTGTAATGTTGTACATAACTATACAAATTTTTAAAAGCAGCCCGAGATAACGATAACAGTGGAAAAAACAAGGAAGAAAAACGGGAAACAGGGCTAAAAAACACACAATCAGTAAAACCCGAGACGTTTCGACTCAAAACTGAGTCATTTTCAGTTGGAAACAATAAAAAGTTAAAAAAAACGAAGAAAAACCTGAGCCCTACATGGTGGTGACCGAGCTCTGGGAAAAAGAGAAAATTGATAACAAACAATGCCCCTTGTGGTTATCAATTTTCTCTTTTTCTCAGATCCCGGCCACCACTATGTAGGGCTCAGGTTTTTCTTCGTTTTTTTTTTTTGAAATTTTTATTGTTACCGACTGAAAATGACTCAGTTTTGAGTCGAAACGTCTCGGGTTTTATTGATTGTGTGTTTTTTAACCTTGTTTCCCGTTTTTCCTCCTTGTTTTTTCCACTGTTATAAAAACTTATAGATCCGCTTGGGGAGTTAATTTCAAAGCCTCTCCATACAAGAATCATTTTATCCTGAACATTTTGAAGAGGAAACATATGAAGGAATGCTTTAGCTCTTACCTTATCTAGAGTCAATCGTACTTGTATTTCCTTATACCTTATAGATTTATTTGTATTTTCCAGAGCGCATTTTCCAAAGTAATATCAAACAAATTTTTGGTTGAGGTGAATAAAGGGTAGTCTAGGCGGCTATGCCTACTCATATGGTACTTCTAAAACTTCACCCGAACTTAGCATACAATTTTATTCCTAATTTCTGTGTAGATTGAATCTACTCGTAAATTATGCAAACATCTTTGTCTACAGTATTTTGTGTAAAGAAAATTCTTTTTAATTTTTAGGATCATTCGAGAAAGTCTCAATGATAGATCCTTTTGTTCCTTATTTAACGTTAATAAACTGTATATTCTTTTTACAATTCACGACAAATCGGATTTTTATCCTCAAAATCGTTTCCCTGAGGTTAGGGCAAATCCGTAACATTTCCTTAAGGTTTCGCAGAGAAGGAGGCATGGTTATTATCGTTGGCCCGCTGAAGTAGGGGCGTATATCTACTTCTACGTGAGCCTCGTTTCACATGCGAATCCATGCTTTCTGAAACTCATATGGAAATCGAGATACGCCCTTACGTCAGAGTGCACTGAAAAAAAAAATCTTGGTGTATTTACTAAGAAAAGGGTAAAATTACCAAGAATTCAGGGTTCTATTTGATCCCACTTTTTTCTTGGTAAAATTACCATTTATGGAATTGGTAATTTTACTGGACCGTGGTAAAAACGCCAATATTTTTTATCGACTGTGGTAGAATTACCGAGATAAAATGGCAAATTTACCGGGAATTGAATACCAATAAAAGTGGTATTCTTACCTGGAAAAAAACTGTAAAAATACCGGTTTTTAGGTAAGGTTACCAGTCTGTCTTGGTAAAATTACCAATAATTGGTAAAAAAAGTGAAATGGTAAAGGTACCAACGGACCATAGTAAAAATGCCGAGAATTTTTTTTCAATGTGCCGACGATTTGAGGATCGTGAAATGAGATCTGGCCATGGAGGCTGTGCAAAATGGATCACGGCGCTTAGCGCAAATATTGCAGCACTGAGGTGTTGCACAGTATCAGATGAACATGAAGGCTCACGTGAAAAATTAACAGGTAGTTTTCAACAGTACAGGATCCTGCGAAAAATATTACGCTGTTCGTTCAAACATATTTTCCCACCACACATTCACAAAAAAATCCCCCCACTGGAAAAATTAAATGAATAATGGCTTTCAACGTTGCATTGTATCGGAACTGCGCATTTAGTGAGAGAGCATTTCGAACAAGCGCATTAGTTTCTAGCGCACGTCATACACTTCAATGAATTTTGCCGGTTTCAAAAAAGGCTCCATGTTTTAATGTAAATTTCAAATGTTGATGTCGCTTTTGTACCGAAAAAAAAGTGAAGTCGATTATAACATTCTGGATGAAAAAAGAATTGTGCGAAAACTTAAGTAAAATGCTGAATTAAACGTCACAGTAGTTAGTTTTACATCTTGGCATTCCTACGGCAACTGCTGTAGCGGGTAATTCAGCATTTTGTAAATTTCAAATGTTAATATCGAACTTGCACCGAAAAAAAGTGAAGTCGATTATAACATTCTGGATGTAAAAAGAAGTGTGCGAAAACTTGCTGAATTAAACGTCACAGTAGTTAGTTTTACATCTTGGCATTCCTACGGCAACTGCTGTAGCGGGTAATTCAGCATTTTGTAAATTTCAAATGTTAATATCGAACTTGCACCGAAAAAAAAAGTGAAGTCGATTATAACATTCTGGATGTAAAAAGAAGTGTGCGAAAACTTAAGTAAAATGCTGAATGAAACGTCACAGTAGTTAGTTTTACATCTTGGCATTCCTACGGCAACTGCTGTAGCG